CCACCACAGGGAGCCTAGCCGTGCTCCGCCGCGATCCGCAATGCGCGGGCCCAGCCACACGGCCGGATATGAAAGCAGGAGGGGAACAAAGTAGATAAGAAGCTCGCCAGACCGCATCACTGTCAGCAGCACCTCGACAACGCTGTCCACGAATATCACGCGGTATATGCGCAGCCCACTCCCCTTCAGTCGCTGGAAGAAACAAGCCAGGCGTTGCAGTAAGCTAGCTGGCTCAGTGTTGGCTGCGGAATTGCCATCTGAACTGGGCCCTGGCACTGCGTCTTCACGCAAGGCATTGGACTCGCTTGCTGCTGTGGTCGCACTGGATTCTAACAGAGCGTTGGTTAGCCATGCGCCACCTCCAGCAGCAGCAGCCACAGCACCCAGTGCCGCAGCTGCACGCGAAGAAAAACCTGCACTCAGTGTCCTCGGCCCACAGCAGCCTTGCCAGCTGCCACCACTTTTCGCATGTATGTCTCTGTATGTGGTGCGCCTATGGGCGGTGGTGCGGCTCCAAACGCTACGCAGCTGCCGTGTCGGCACTTTGGCTGGATTTGCTAGCCGGCAGCATCGCAGCATGGTCCTCTATAGTGCTAATTTAAATAGGCAATTTGTACAAGGGCACAAAAAAGAGTCTATAAACAATAGTCGGGGAATTCATAAGAGAAGCAGCGCCATGGTTTTGAAAGCCAGCCAGACATCAAACGCCTGAGCGTGTCATCACCACTCAAAAGAGCACACAAGCATGAACAGCTGAGAAGGCAGGAGACCCTGGAGCCTGGGCCTCGCTCTGCTGCCAGCTTTGGCTTTCATGCTCTCCCCAAAAGCAAAAAAGCCTGAGCGAGATTACCAAATGGCAGACAGCAAATGGACAGCCACCAATTCCAAGCAAGAAAATTTTTTTTTTCTGCGCATCAAGAGCCGATTCCGCTGCCCCCACCGAAATCACTCATCCTTTCTTTTCTCTACGCCCTCGTCAAGCACTCGTATCCTGTCTTTGCCAGTAACATATTTGCTGTATTCCTTACTGGCAGCACACATACAACATACACTATACACCTCGCTCCAGGTAAAAGTCGCCACCAACAAGCGCCATATCCTCTTTTGCTACAGCGCACTTGCCACCACCGCCGCACTAATCCCTTCCCCATTCTGCTTGTTATCTCATCTTGGACACAAACGCTAGATCCAAGTAGAGTATGCCATCGACGGAGCTGGCCACACAGCAGGGCATTCTGCCATCACTTGGAGGACGTACATCGCAAATACGCACCGGGTTCAGACGGAACAACACAAGCACCAGCAGCGCTACGGTGGCTCTGACCCTACTTTGCCCAACGTGCCGCAATACATCGCCAAACCTCATCCAGGACTTTTCTTCGGGTGATCTGATCTGCGCTGACTGCAACTCTGTCGTCGGCGACCGGTTAATAGACTCGCGCTTAGACTGGCGATCCATGAAGCGAGCAACACAGCAGATAGAAGATGCAAAGCTGCTCATGTCGGCCGCCAGCATCTCTCTATGCACGGCCAACGCCTGTGATAGCAGCTACAGCGACAGCAGCAGCAGCAACAGCAGTAGTGAAGGCGAAAGGAGAAAGCCGGCGGAAAAGGAGGGGAATGGCCCTCTGAGCAGAGCCACAATTGCAAAGGCATTGAAGAGCAGGACGAATAGCCGGGCGGTCATTCAGCGGCATGAGCGCAACCTGATCCATGCCTTTACCGAGATCACAGCCCTCTGCGACAACATGGATCTGCCCAGGTCCATCGACGACGCCGCTCGGCAGCTGTACCGGCGAGTCGAGGAAGGCAACTTGCACAGGGGCAAGAACATTGACGCCATAATCGCCACTTGCATTTTCCTGGCCTGCCGGCAGGAGGGAGTGCCGCGGACATTCAAGGAGATCTGCGCACTGACAAATGTGCCGCGCAAGGATATTGGCCGCACATTCAAGTTCCTCAAAGAGAAGCTGGGTGCCGATACCGGATCCATGTCTTCGGACGATTTGATGTCGCGGTTCTGTGCCAACCTGTCGCTTTTGTCAACGGCTCAGGAGTGCGCCGTTTTGCTTAACCAAAGAGCAAAGGAGAGAGACACGCTGGCGGGGAAGAGCCCCGTGTCGATTGCCGGTGCGTGCATTTATATGGCGTCGCATCTGGTCGGCCAGCCTAGGGATGCAAAGGTTATTTCGCACGTGGCAGGCGTGAGCGAGGTCACCATCAAGAACTCGTACAAGCTTTTGTTTGCCGATCGCAACCAGCTTGTAACGGAACAGGTGCTGGCCGTGGACCCTATGGCCTCTCTGGACCATTTGCCGCTTTCTTGAGCCCTGCAGAATGTACAAACCACTCCCTTCGCAATGTATTTTTTCTTGCCCTAGCTGCGTCTGACTCTAATCCCATTCCAATTTCCATATTCCATGCTGCTGCTGCTACAAGAAGGTAGTGTGTGTATTATTAAAGCTCACGTGTAGACATCCCATCAATGGCGCTACCCCACGGCGGCTCCTAAATCCCTCAGTTTGGCGTGACTGGACTGTGCCACCCCTTGCGTTTTGTTACTTTCACGGAACTTTGCAGTGCTGCACTTACTCCCTCTCCGTTCCCACCCAGTTTGGACGTGTATATTTACTCCGTTTAAACGTGCAAGGAACGCAAACACCTGTCTCTTAATTGCCCCTGTGGCCCTCCTTCTTTTTCAAGAAACCGTCAAGCACAACAGAAGCAGCAAAGCATGCCAGAGACAAACAGTGTTAGGGCCCAGCAGGCAAACGGACCCAACCGTGGAGTAAACGTCACTTTGATGTGCCCAGACTGCCGCAGCCCAATCCCCAACATCGTCGAAGAATTTGCTTCAGGCGACCTTGTGTGTGGCGACTGCGGCCTCGTGCTGGGCGACCGGATTGTCGACACACGGTCCGAATGGCGTACGTTTGCCAATGACGAAGGAGACGACCCGTCGCGTGTCGGTAATGCAGCCAACCCGTTCCTTGACGGCGCACAGCTGGACACCGTCATTGCTCGCGGCGGCGACCACGGCTCAGGCCTGGCCCGTGACCTGAACCGCATCCACGGCAGATCGACGGCCCAGAGGCACGAGCGCAACCTGGTGCAGGCATACAAGGAGATTTCGGCCCTGTGCGATGCCTACGATTTGCCCAAGGTCATCGGCGACGTGGCCAAGCAGCTGTACAAGAAGGTGGAGGACGACAACCTGCAGCGCGGAAAGAACAACGATGCCATCATTGCTGCGTGTATTTTCCTTGCCTGCAGGCAGGAGGGAGTGCCCCGGACGTTTAGGGAAATCTGCGCACTGACAAAGGTTGACAGGAAGGACATTGGACGCACGTTCAAGTTCCTCAAGGGCAAGCTGGGCACGGAGTCGGGAACGACGTCGTCAGATGACCTGATCCTGAGATTCTGCTCCAACTTGACCCTCAATATGGAGACCCAGAGAATCGCGGAGCTGCTGAGCCAGAAGGCCAAGGATATGGACAAGATTGCGGGAAAGAGCCCCGTGTCTATTGCGAGCGCCTGCATTTACATGGCGTCGTATCTTACGGGCAACGGCAAGGACGCCAAGACCATCTCGGGCATTGCCGGGGTCGGCGAGGCGACGATCAAGACCACATACAAGATTCTGTATGCTAGTCGCGACGAGCTGATCACGCCCGATATTTTGGCTCGTAGCCCCAAGGCCAAGATATCCAACCTGCCCAATCCCTGAGGGTTCCCTTCTTCATGATCACCACAATATTTGAGGCTCACCCATGGCTTGGCCGTCTTGGCCCTTCAGTAGATCCACTTATTAACGGCTGCCAGCCTATCTGGGTGCTGCTGCAACATCATGTTCAAAGAGCACAAGAGCAGAGGAAAGTTTGGGGGTGTGGAGGAAAAAATAAAAGAGAAGGGCAGCTGTGGAATGTCCGCACCAAGAAAAAGCATGTCGGCCTTGAATCAAGCCACGACTCTTTGCTTTTTCTTCGCTTCTGATACCCATTTTTCTTCTTTAGTGCTGCTACAATCGCTAACTTGCATTTTACGTTCCCTCCTTCAGTTTTGTTTTACAAAGGAAGAAGCATGGCGAACCTCAGCTACGTGGATGTCTTTTGGTTCGTGCCAAACCTCATTGGCTACTCGCGCATTGCTCTGACGGCCATTGCCGTGTACAGCATGTACTTTGAACACCCCTACATAATGTTTGCTTCCTACGCTATTTCGGAGCTCTTGGACGCCGCCGACGGCTACTATGCGCGGAAGCTGGGTCAATGTAAGTTTGGCACTCTGTCTTGAAGGGCGAAGGCGCTCAATTGACTCACGCCATTCAGTCAGTCGTTTTGTTTATTTGTTTGTCGGGCGGCTAAACTACTACGATCGACTCCCTTTCCCTTGGCGCCTCCGTATCCCTGCTGAAACACACAACCACAACTGCACCCTATGTGACGCTGCTGTAGGCAGCAAGTTTGGCGAGGTGCTCGACATGGTCACGGATCGCTGCACGACCACGGTTCTGCTCACGTACCTGGCTCAGCTATACCCGAAGCTGGCACTCGTGTTCTGCTTCCTGATTTCCTTGGACATCAGCAGCCACTACATGCAGATGTACAGCCAGCTGATTACAGGCAAGACAAACCACAAGCAGATGGACGAAAGCGCGCACTGGATCCTCAAGGCCTACTATACGGACCGCAGGGTTCTCTTCGGATTCTGCTTTGGAAACGAGGCCTTCTTCATGCTCATCTACCTCATGGAGTACCTCGATGGCTTCTGCTTCTACTTTGTCTCGTTCCTGGCGCTCTTGGCGTTCCCCATCTGCGTTATCAAGAACACCATCAACGTCATTCAGCTCTACGAGTCAGCAAAGGATCTCGCGAAGCGCGATGCTGCTCAGCTGAACACTGGCAACGACCCAAGCAAGAAAAACTAAAACCTGCGTCCCACATGTTTGAATATACCTCCCTACACGCCCTCGCTAAAAAAATTGACGACTCGAAAAAGAATGGAGGACCGGGGTATCGATCCCCGTGCCTTGCGCATGCGAAGCGCACGCTCTACCATGTGAGCTAGACCCCCATCAGAACAACCGAGGCCATTCGCCTCTCTGCTGCGTCGCACAAATCGTGGCCTAGCAAATTAGATCCATTAACTATTTCCGCCTGCCGCCATTGTCTCTCCATTCAGCCAGCAGCTGGCAGCACCACATACCTCAGTGCAACCACACGCTATTTGAATACTAGCTATGGGCAATACCCCACTACGTGTGACGCACAAGACGCTGACCACACAACAGAGCCACAGCAGCAAAGTCTAGACAGATTAATCTAGTAGCCTCTGACAGTGCATTTGCCGCATTAGGCAGGCTATATCGAACAATGTGTAATCAAGTGTGAAAAATGAGACAGTATTCAGGACGTGTGGATGGGGCGGAAGGCTGCTTTTGCACCAATCCATCAATATGTGTGCAGTGGTGTGTAGCTCATGCTTTAGACCTCGCTATCAAAGGGTAAGCCGCGCAGTGCAGTGAGGTAGCATCCCACAAGGGGTGTGATGGTCAATATGTTGACCGCCATTAATAAAACAAGCCTTGCACATTTTACCCTCATATGCAGCCAGCATGGTTCGTCTGTTTTATGTATTACATCCTGCACCATTTAAAATGCCCAGCATGGCCGACCGCGTTTTTGACAACACGCTGATCATGAGTCAGATAGTTTCATATATGACCCAGAAAGACTTGGTTAGCATGAATCGGACCTGCAAGAAAGGGTGGACGTACGCAGTAAAGGCTATATGGCGGGTGCCAGTACTACAGCTTATCGATGAATTTAGGGCGTTTGTCGAAGCGGTGTCAAAGCCGCCAACGTTTCCAATACCTGGCTGTAGCGTATATGGAGGTTTGGTGCGCGTCATTGATCTTTCGCTGCTCAACGGACGCTGGGAGCGAGTCGGATACAACCATTTGTCGCAGATCTTACGCAGCTGCCACCACATACACACACTAAACATCAACCTGTGCCAGTATATAACGGGAGACGAGTTTAAGCGGCTATTCTCGGAAAACCCGCACATATGCAGATCCCTCACCGCACTGGATATCGGCGAAACCCAGTTCAGCGACAGGGTGATTGAAGATGTGGTTCGCATGCTGCCGAATCTCAAATCACTGGGGCTGAGCGAGACTGCAACTACAAACAGGACGATGGATGTAATTGCCGAGTGCTTGCCGGGGCTGGAGGATCTGGATATCAGCCAATGTGAGGATGTGGACGACGACGGCGTTGCCAGGATGATTGAAAAGTGCAAAAAACTGAAACACATTGATGTGGACGGGTGCCCGATGATTCAAGACTACGACCCAATCAGCCACCTGAATGCCACCTGGGACTGGGAGTCAGACTACGAATCGGCTACTGGCGACGAATTCGATGTATATGACGAGATGTATGACGAGATGTATCCTGAGGACGGGCCTTATGCTAGCGGCGATAGCAGAGGCATGCAGTCCGATGGAGGAGACTCTTCCAATGGGGGAGCCTCAGGTCCTGAGGGCTTGTAGGGTTTCGTGTAGCCTATATAAACCATCACTGCTTTCAAGCTTCATCTACACTACAGGGTGCGTATTGCGGCTCGCAGAACCGAGCCGAGTCATAAAATTTTTGTACAATAGAAAATGCTGGAGGCGAGTGTGCTTCGCAGCCCAAAAAGCCCGCGTCCCACACGCCACCCCCTGTTGTTGGCAAATGCTAAGCAAGCTTTTTTTCATTTTGTCTCCCTTCCAATTCAAACTCGTCCTCCCCAGACGCTGCTTTATCCTCGCTGCCTTCTGCCGTCTTTAAGCATACGCTGTTTTTGACATGGACTTTTTCAAGCTGCTTGGAGCGGGGGCCAAGTTTGACAAGTCCCGCTTCAAAGAGGACATTTCGGTGTTCAAGGTAAGAAAAGATAAATGGCGTTCAGAATGCGACTAAAGCTTTCCAAGCATTTCAATTCGCACTCAATTTGCCCCTAAAGCACCCCTATGGAACACCGCTGTTTTTAGCCGTCAAAGCGCGCAAACCATCAAACAGTCGATGTGGTGGATACGGTACCGAAGGAGCTAGATTTCTTTGGCGATCACAGCAGGCAAAAGCAAAAGAAGGGCGAGGCAGTTCCAACCAGCCAGGTTAGCGGATCAGCGAGTCAGTACATTAAGGAAGAGGACGACCACACGCCGTTCCGGGATGACACTGAGGTAGCGGCCTTTCTAAAGCGACACAAAATCAAGGTGACGGGAGGCGACGTCCCACACCCGATCAAGTCCTTTGAGATGCTGTGCAAGGAGCACGACTTCCAGCCGTTCGTCCTGCGCAACTTGAAAAAGTTTGGGTTTAAGCAGCCGACGCCAATCCAGATGCAAGCGATCCCTATTGCAGTCCACCGCCGCGATCTGATTGCAAACGCGCCGACGGGATCAGGAAAAACCCTGGCGTTCTTGCTCTCGATTTTGCACCAGGTCCACTCGGCCGAAAAAGATGGGTTCCGGGCAATTGTGGTTTCGCCTACGAGGGAGCTGGCCACACAGATATATGAGCATTTGAGGAACCTTACCGCGGGGAGGAAGATCAAGACGTGCTTGATGACCAAAAATGCGGCTGCCAAGCAGGCACAGGACCCGACGTTGCGCCAAAAGTACGATATCCTTGTCACCACCCCGCTGCGTCTCGTACACTCGATTCAGAATAGCGAGGTGGATCTCAAGCATGTGCGCAACTTGGTGCTCGATGAGGCTGATAGCTTGATGGAGAAAGGGTTCTTGGAACAGGTCGATGAGATCCTGGCGGCGTGCACCTCGCCCAACCTGCAGATATCGTTGTTCAGCGCTACGATGCCGTCAAGCGTCGAGCAGATGGCCAACACAATCATGAAGGACCCGATCCGCGTCATCGTTGGATCCAAAAACGCAGCCACGGAGACGATCGAGCAAAAGCTGGTGTACGTTGGCCAGGAGGAAGGCAAGTTGATCGAGGTGCGCAACATGATTGCCGCTGGGTTCAAGCCCCCGTGCTTGATATTCGTGCAGTCGATTGACCGTGCAAAGGAGCTCTTCCACGAGCTTATCTACGACGGCATCAATGTCGACGTCATTCACTCGGAGCGCACACAGACACAGAGGAACAGGATCATCCAAAAGTTCCGCACTGGCGAGCTTTGGGTGCTCATTTGTACAGAGCTCCTGGCTCGTGGTATCGACTTCAAGGGCGTCAACCTGGTCGTCAACTACGATTTCCCGCAGTCTGCGCAGTCGTACATTCACCGTATCGGCCGTACTGGTCGTGCCGGAAGGGCTGGAAAGGCCATCACATACTTCACAAAGGAGGATGGCCCGTATCTGAAGACAATTGTGAATGTCATGCGAGAGTCTGGGTGCGAGGTTCCCGAGTGGATGGTGGAGATGAAGAACCCGACAAAGGATGAGAAGAAGAAGCTGAAGAAGAACCCGGTGGATCGCAGAGCCATTAGCACGGTGCCTCGGTACGACCAGAGGCGCTTAAAGCGCAAGCAGCAAATCATCGAGCAGTCGAAGGCAAAGAAGCAGCGGCTGCTCAAGGAGGCCGCCGAAAAGGCAGCGTCGCCGTCGACAAAGGAGTCAAACGCGGCGGAGGGCAACAGCGAGTAGACTCTTGGCGCGCACTAGTCTCCACACTGCCATGGTTTCTTCTATTCGTGTTATGTTTTTTTCTTCTTTTTCTCTCTCTTCAAATTAACCATACAGTTCCTTCATTACCAAGGGTGCTTTTGTCTAGAGAGCCGTGCCGCGCTCAAAGTTGTCGCGTATCTCCTTGGTGTACTTGTCGTACGCACGGTTCATCTTGCGGTTAAACCTGGCATTCCGCTCATTGATATACGACACATCGTCTCCCTCCTTCTCGACCGTCGGTTTATGCAGCGCCGCCCGCTTCTTCTGCTGCTCCTCAACAGTCTTCACCAACCTCTCGACGTTTCTCGGTTCTGGCGTGTGTGCCTCACTCAACAATTGCTGGCTTGCTTCGGCCTTGTTTCTCTGGTATGACGCCAAATCAGGCTTCAACTTTGCCACGTCTCTCTCGTATTTCCTCTGGTTGACCTGCGAGTAGTCGGTGAACCCGCGTTCCATGTTCTCTTGGCGCTTGCGTTTCTTCTCCTCGTACTTTTCTACTTGCTCGGCCGAGTAGTCCCAGAATCGCGATCTTTCGTAGTCGCTGCCCTGGAACTCTTCTCTTTCTTTGAGAATCTCGGCTTCGCGACGTTTGCGCTCTTGCCGGCGCAAGTCGCCTGGGTTTTCGCGCAGTCGCTGGTGTTCTTGGTAGACCTCGCGCTTGTTGTCCTGCGTCGATTGAGCCAAGCGGGCTCGCAGCAACTTGAGGCGCTCGACCTGCGGTTTTAGCGAGTCGGGGATGTCGGCGCGCTGGGTGATGTCTTGCTCATCGTCGTCCGAGGTGTCGTCGGAGCCGTCGTTTTCGGAGTCGCTGCTGCTGTCCTCCTCGCCTGAGGATGGCGAATCGCTGTTGTTGTCCTCTCTAGCTGTGCCGCTCTCTTCTTCATGTTGCTCTGCTTCAGCAATGTGTGATATCTGTTTGCCTTTCGTCTCTTTGCCTTCTGCCATTGTTTGAGTTGTTTAGCGGTATGTACAGATACAGTGGGATGATATTAGCTATGCGAGGCAAATGAACGCGCTGATTTTCAATTGTGCTCCTGGGTAGGGCCAGCAAACATGAACAACTGTAATTGTGGGATACGCCTATTTAATGAGCTACAGTTCCCGAGCACGCTTCCTCCACACCGCCATATGGCTAGCGCCATGCCTTCAGACCTTGGTGAGTCGGGACCACCCATACCAAATGCCACCCGGAGGCGGCGCGCATTCAAACGATGCTCTTCATCACCTTTATCTGCTCTTACCCAGTGTGGAATCAGGTCTGGTAGAGCCCTCTCTTGGGACTGATTCAGACGCATTCTTTGCCGGCATCCAGCTGGAGTTATCGCTGAACTCCCCTCCTTGCCCACCTGTTGGTCGCTTCTGACAACCCAGCAAACCTTTGTACAGAAGTGGAGGT